GTAGCCATTTATTACATGACACTAGTCATTTGACTGACCTAACACTGCTTCCTTGTGGCTGGCTCTAATTTACAACTTGATAGCAGCTGTCGCAATGAAAGAACCAGGTTCATTATCTGATTTGTTTCTCCCTTCCCTGTACTCATAGGGTCCATTAACAACAGGGATATGTGATTTTTAAATGGCTGAATAAGTCATACTTCCATTAAAAGAGTAGACTTACAAAGTAAAATAGAATAACCTGTTAGTATATTCCCTTCCTTTTCTCTGTCTAGTTGTTTCCATTTATTCCGTTCAAAGAACATATATTGAGTACTGTTCTCAGCAGGCAGAGGCCTTATCTGTCCTCTGCTGTATCCCATGCTTAAACCAAAGCAAAGTCCATAGTAGGCACTCGGTAAACACGTGTTGGATTAATGAATAAACGTGTCTTGTTTATTTATTTATTTTTTTGGTGGCTGGCCATTATGGTCATCTGAACCCATGATCCTGTTGTTATAAGGCTGTGCTCTAACCAACTGAGCTAACCAGCCAGCAGATTAATCCATAAATGAAGCAATGAATGAACAGCACCCACTGCAGGGTCTCTTGACCTTGCACAGATGGAGTGCCCACCTTGGGTTTCATCTCTGATACCTTCATGCTAGTTTTCTGTCTTTGGACTGGAGACTTACTAATTGGGTATTTTGAAAGGAAAAAGAAAGCCCAGAAGTTTGATACCACTGATTTGTCTTGTCTATGAGGGCCCAAGCCCTAAATAAAATATACAAGCTGCTCTGTTGGCTTTTTCCTCCCATTGGAGGGCATCTATACGTCAGGGAGCACAGTCTTTTCTTGATGAAAAATAACCCAAATTCTCCAAATTTTATCAGTTTATCAATGGCAGCAGTGGTGGTGGGATGGGACTTGGTAATAGAAAATGTTAAAAATAAAACAAATGAGCATTTAAGAACCACTGACGCAACATGCTGGACCTATTGAAATTGTCATGGGAACTTGAAACTATCTGGGGGATAAGTTGTAACAGTTACATATCCTGTGGTTTATTCAACATCAATTATGTTTGACAGTACTGATTCAATACAATCTTATTTACTATTTTATTCTATACTTACCAAGATAGGGCTTCCTGATCCCCCAGACTAGGTTAAGTCCCCTGGCTGAGTAGACACTTAGCATCCTGTGCTTCCATTATCTGAACACATGATCATGGTTTATTGTAATTAATGTAACTACAATAAATTCCCTGATGGCAAAAAATGCATGTGTCAAGCTTCCTCGACATAGTGAGCTAAATTAATACGTTAAGATTATTAGTGTCTTACTAACTGGGATAGCCTAAAAAGTTAGGTTACATAATTGGGACAAAAACACCTTAAGGTCTTACTTTTATACTTGCTGTTGAGAAGCATCCTATAACATTTAAGTGATAAAAAGTAGTACAGAATAAAATAAAATCTCTGTCTATTGTTTCACCGACCTTTGCCTTCCCACACCAGCAACCTCTTTGTAAAATCTCTCTCTGGTTCTCATAGTCTATAAAATCTTAGAAGGTGCCAGATGTTTAGAAGAGCCTGCCCCACACATCCTCGATTTTAAAGAAGATGCAAGATTTATGGTGGCTATATAGATGTAATTTCAGCCTTGACTTTTGTGTTCGTGAACTAGGTGTAATTGGCAACGTGGCCTCTTGTCAAATAGAACAATGCTTTTGTGTGGAGTGTCGGTGTCAATGCCAAACACTCAAAATAACCACAGGATATTACTGAAGCGAGTTCTTCCCACAAACTGTTTCCCTCTAGGAAATTTTAATGTAATGTAAACATTTTCAGGAAAACCATTTTGCATTTAGGCAGCATTCAAAAGCTAGGCTGGGATAAGCTGTGCATGAATATACAGCAACACCTGGAATAAATGCCTGCCTGAGCAGATACAGTCAATGCCTCAAATTAGGTTTTTCTCCTTTGGCATAGTTTCTAAATGTGAGAACAGGCTAAAACCATTTTCCTTCCGGTCCTGCCTAGCTCAGGGGTGCTATGTAGTACACCCATTCATTTTGATACAAGTGAAAGTTAGGCTACACTTTGTGCTGGGGAGCTCCACAAGCTACTAAAAAATAGTGAAGGGGTATGCCAGAGGTGAGCTGAGGCTTTTCGAGTACTCTAAAATGGGTCTAGTAGCATCTTCTTTGAAGTTGTCAGCAACTTTTCAAAAAAACAAGTTCTTTAAGTAAAAAATGGAATTCTTCTTTTTTCATATGATAGTTACTGGCTAAGAATCTTTTGAGCACCACCTCTGTCTATGCAGGGCAGAGTTAAACATCCTGGAGGAGGACTATGAAAATTCATCCTAAATAGACTACTGATTTTTTCATAGATTAGAAAAAAAATCTACAGAGCTTCAGAAGTGGATGGGATGCCAGTGGGTATTACTTGAACACTTTTCACTTTATAGATGAACTACCTTTCTTTTGACATGGTCCAGACACTGGCTGTATTATAAGCAGATGTTAATCACTTTCAATTAATTTGTGGCATTGTAAAATCGTGAAAATATGTAACCAATTTGACTCTTGTTTTTATTGATGGTTGACTGCATGCTACTGTTAATATTCTAGGTGAGCACATAATAGTTAAAGAAAAGTCTGTAAAATGTATAAACGGGGATGTTAATGTAGCAGGCAGAGATGACACACGCGATTGACAGCAATGGGAGAAAAGGGTTTGCTGAAGAGACGTTAGGAGCCCAAGAGTGATGGGAGGCAGGTGCTAACAAGAGAGAGGGCTATTAAATATGATTTTTGTTGGATTACCAGCTTGCTTGCTGATCTTTACTGTTGCATTCATGAATACTATAACACTGTCACCTTGGATATATCTATGTGGAAAATAAGTTGGCACATTTGACTAATCTATGTAACAAATTTGTAAACTAACACTTCACACCCAGGCAAGTATTAGCAAGAACATATTTTGCTCCAGAAGTCTGTGTTGGTAGTTAATTCTCAATGCTGTAGCAAAATCAAGAGAAAAACAACAGGAAGAATTTTTCTTGGCAACCTCTAGGACTAATTAAATCAGAGATAGGGGAAGAAAGGGTAAGAAATACGTTTGTGTAGGACTAACCACCAGGTCACTTTTCATAAGAGTACATCCAACACACAGTGGGTCCAAATTTTAGTTTTTAAGTCAAATGATTTTGCAGACATTCAATTTCATATCAAATTGGCATCTATGAAACCAGATTAACTGAAAGTATATGGAGTTGTTTAATGTTAAAACAGTCAGCAAACACTGAAGAAAAAAAGCCAATTAGGAAGTCATTGTTGCTCTTACAAGTTAAAAATATTATATTATCATTCTTGATCGTGTCCTGCTCTATGTAACAAAATCCACATATCCACTTGCATCAATAACTTGCTGACTGACCAAAGACAGTTGAACTGTGCCAGGAATCACCACAATTTCAACCAAAAAAGTGTGAATGATCTGGATCACTACAAGTGACACTTTGAGGTTTAATCTGATTTTAAAATATGCAAATCTTTTTAGATTTCTTGATGAGAGGACCTTATTATTAGCATTGTTTGGGCATCTTATCTTTGCCAAAAGTAATCTAAATCTCATATGTTAGAAGATCAAGTTTATTCTTATTTTTTATTTATACCATCCTCCAAAATCTTAGCAAAATCCCAAAAATCTTAACAAAGAATCATGTCATTTTTGAATTAGAAGGATACCTTAATGACTAACTTTTAACGTCTTCCTTTTTCAAATGATGTAACTCAAGATCATACAAACAGATTTTGTCCTTCCAGCAAAGGGAGAGAGAACATCTCTTCATTTTAATCTTTCTGAAATGATTCTGAGATTGTTAGATGACTTCTGTTTGAATCTGCTCACTCTGAAAGTCTTCTTTTTAACTTCAAAACCATTTTCTCTGATCTTCCTAAGCAAAATAGTGAATTAGCCAATCGGTTTCATTGCCAAAAGCCAAATGCCTGTAACCTAAACATATCTTTGCAGGGTGAGTTTAGGTTTCTCTGAATTCTAACACATCTTAGATCTTTTTCCTTTCCTACCCAAATCGTAGATGTCAGAACGTTACTTGTGCGTCCTGGTTTAGCAGTTTGCATAAATGATGAAGGCCCTCTGAGGCTGACAAATGCCACTGCTATTTCCACCACTCTGTCTGTCCCTATGTAATTGCAGTAAATGCATTTGAAAGTACTTTTATTTGAAGGCCATTTGACAGAGGGGGAGAAAACACATTTACTCTTTCAAGGCCTGTGTATTTTCCTGGGAGAAGCCTGCCTATAAAATTTGTCCTTTTATCCTTGGATAGCTATTTGGGAAATATCTTTGGGCAGTGCAACCCCCCAAATGATTTCTGCAATCCAAGAACAGAGCCATGATTCACAGACCTCCCCTGCCTCTTCCCCAGCTCCCATCTGCCTGCCTTCTAAAGACTGGAAGGCTGTTTCATGCTTGTGTGCTTGATGCCTTCCCTTCCACAAAATGAAATAGAAAACTTGCATATTTAGCTGAAATATTGAGCTATTTTCATCCTAGATGTTTGAGGAAGGAGCTGTTTACTAATATCCATGACTATGTTGAGATAAACAAATAAAAGAGAGACAGTAGTGTAGAGTTTCTTTTCTTTTCTTTTTTTTTACAAGATCCTTTTCTAACTTTTCCTTTCTCACAAGAGCTCACTGAAATTCAACAAGATTACTTTGATCTTCATCAGAAAGATCAGCTAATTCAATACAGCTGGCATGTACAATCTTTCACAGGACTGCCCCATACCGTATACAAGGAAGTCTTATTTTTTAGCATAAAAAAAGAAAAATGCAAAATAATGCTTATAATTTGCTAAAAGTTGTTTTTTAAATCCCCCTAATCTCTGCAAGTTATCCTAACTTCTACCTTCCCACTAAACATCATAAACACGTGCTAGTGTCATGTCTCTGTTCTCAGATCTGTGTAAATGCTTCTTACCTATGAACAGATTCCACTCCGTGTCGAGGTCAGCCTGATTGGCCAGGCAGCCCTTCATGACATTGAGGCAGTAGTTGTTGCAGGGTCTCACAGTGGGAAGGCCTCGGCAGTACGGGCAGTACAGCATCTTCATGAGAGCACGGATGCACCCTGGGGTCGGGCTCACCTGCAGATTTATTGAACAGAAGAAAAAAAATCAGAAATAAGAAGGATGAAGGGCAGGAAAAAAAAAAAAAGGAATGTTCTCTTTTTTTAAAAAAAGATAACAAAACATCAGATTGTTCCTCATACGTATGTACAATTACTGTGTATAAGCTAAAATTTAAACAATCACAACAATTCCTTGAACTTGTTAAGACAAGTGAAGAGATATAAAGTTGATGGGGAAGGAAGGAGGGAAAAGGAGGAATTGGTAAAGGGACACAAAAATCAACTACATTGTATACTGATAAATTAAAATAAAAAAAACAACAAAAAAAGGTTTTTGATTTCTGGAATAATCAGTCAAATATGTTTCAGAATATCCTAACTTGAGGGAGATGAAGCAAAAATAAACAGAAACAACCCCCACCTCCCCCAAATTCAGGAAATTAAAAAAAAAGGTGAAATAGCTCTGATAAACCTCAAGCAGTAGAGCAGAGGGAAGAGGAACTCTGAGAATCTTAACCCTTTGTCATTCTTGTTCCTGTTAAATACTTCTGCTCGGCTTAGTAATAAGCTATTCTTTTGAAATGTCCCTGTCAACATTTTGATATCTATGTCATGGTAATTCAGCCCTAAAACCTAGACACTGTTTCATTGCTATAGAACATGAAGTGAGATAATGCATGTGAAAGCAATTTGCAAAGTTAAAAGCCCTGTAAAAATGTAGGTATTATTAAAGTTTAATGTGACACCTTTAGACAGTTTTCCAACTGGTTATCTGACCGTGTTTCTAAGGAGGTTGGCAGTTATACTTCCTTTGTACATAACTTTTTTTAAAGGATCAATATCAACTTGTCTGGGATTTCTGAGATCCAGGCCAGCTTATATGCAATGAAACTGCCAAGGAACCATCTTCAGGCATTTACAGCTTCGCAGTTCTGGAAAATTCGGGGAAAAAGGACTCAGTGTTGAACGTGAGCAGAAATCCTTGCAGTAGTTCAGAGGAACTACTAATCAACTTCCAATGAAGTGCTATTTGCCATGAATAAGAAAAGCGATGCTCCTCAAATAATCAATTCCTAAACAATGAGAACCTTTTTACACTCAGTGAAAATTCTAACTTAACTTCAAGAGGAAAGGAATATTTAAAACAGTATGGACCAACAATAGAAAAACAAAACTCTTTTTCATAACTAGTTGTAAAAATTATTGTCATATTTATTTGGTGGTTTATATAATTCTGATACGTAAGTCAAGTAACTGTATGTTGCTGTACTTGTGTTCTAGATCTGAGAGTTGTGGTCTTATCACACAGACCTGGTTCCACAAGTCACAGCTCCCCAGCAAGAATATTCAGATACTGACAAAGCATAATACCAAAGTGATGGCGAGACAATAAGTATTTCCACATAAGTGGATGCTTCCTATAATTATGAGGAGTACTTCAAAAAGCTAGTCAAAAAATGGAGTTAAAAGATAATGTGAATCTTTCTGTGAACTTTCTGAAGACCCCCTTCCCCACCTTGTAGAGCTATTCCCCGTCATCCTATCCTCTATGTAGAAACCACACTTGAGATTTTTAATACAAGGCCTTGGTTTCTGTAACAATTTCATTTTACACTGTACACTGACAAAGACCCTAACATATTATTTCAGGAAAGAAAGCCATTTATTTTATTTATGTAGGCACCAAAATTTCTAGCTGTCCTTTTGAGTTTTTTGCATTCTCTTTCCAAAATTTCATGAAAATTTTCAAACATACAGAAAAGTTAAACAACTTTTATAGTGAATAGTCATATTCCTACTCCCAGAATGTACAATTTACATTTTCCTACATTTAGTTTTCACATAGCCACCCATCCTTCCATTCATCCATTAACCCACCTTATTTTTTTATGCCAAAGTAATATCCTTGCATTTTTTTTTCCTTTTTGTCTTTTTCCGTGTCCAGCAATGGATCGCAACCCTCAGTGTCGCCCCCGTACCGGACCGGGACCGGCAACGGGATTGCAACCCTCAGTGTTGCTCCCGTGCCTCACTCAGCCAGTGAGCGGGAACCGGTCTGTATGTGGGATCCGAACCCTCGGCGGGAGCGCCGCCGCGCTTCCCAAGCGGCGCACTACAGCAGTGCGCCACCGGGCCGGCCCTATCCTTGCATTTTTTATTCCGAAGTAATATCCTTTTGATTTTTCCTTTGCCTGATAACTTAATATTGGCTTGAGTAAAATAGAATGAACATGGTTAAAAATAGAAAGTTAGTGCATTAAGTACTCTCAGTCAAATGAGTGAAATGAAATATAATTGGCCTTTCATTATAAAATTATTTAGAGAATGATTTAGTACCCATTCATTCAAAAACTTATTTTCTAACAACTAAACAAAAACAAAACATGGGGACAAAAGTGAGGAGTCTGGAGACTTTTTATTTAAGGCCATATTATTGCCATCATTAACTTCTCCAGATAGGCTATTTCGTTGACAATGCCAAATGTTGCCCAGGATTTAGGAGCGATGTCCTAAAGTTTTCTTTTATCCACATGTATCCCAAACCTTTCACAAATTTTGTGTTCCCTATACAGTATTTTTTTTTTTTTTTTGTCTTTTGTCTTTTTCCGTGTCCGGCAACGGATCGCAACCCTCAGTGTTGCCCCCGTACCGGACCAGGGACTGGCAACGGGACCGCAACCCTCGGCGTTGCCTCGCTCAGCCAGTGAGCGGGAACCGGTCTGCATGTGGGATCCGAACCCTCGGGCGGGAGTGCCACCGCGCTTCCCAAGCGGCGCACTTATCCAGTGCACCACCGGGCCGGCCCCCTATACAGTATTAATGTGGAATTTTAGAGTCTTACACATTTCCTTATTTGGCATGGTTGCAGTCTTACCAGCCTTTGCCACAGGATTTTATTTTCTGTCGCCTTGAAACTTCTCTCCTGACCCTGATGTTTTTCTCCAGAGACCTAGCCTGTTTTCTCTCAAGCTGACTAAGCTGTTTCCATCTTTGACTCTGTTGGATTTTTAGTTTTCTCACCACTGGTGTTATATGATGCTTTGCTTCTTCACACTCAGTGTCTAAGTATAAAAGCTGAAGCATTTGTCAATATTGGGGATGCAAGTTTGAAATCTCTTGGACAGCATGGACTGTGTCGTTTGTCACTATAACCTTCACCACTCTGCACAACATGCACATCGTATAAGGTGTTACGACTATGATTTAGGTACTCATTAATTGCTTTTGAATCAAATTCTCTATTGTGTTTTACAATTTCTTGGCCACATTGATATTCAAAGAAAAAAAGGAACAAGATGGTTTTATACATGTTAGCATTGAATTGTTGCTTTTTAACTCTGTTTTCAAAGGCTATTGATTGCATTATTAATTCCAAAGCTCTGCTCTTTTTTCTTTCTTTCTTTTTTTTATTGTGTTGGAACCAGTACAATTTTTTTAGTCTGACATTTCAGAAGAGTCTCCAACTCAGGATAGCAACCAACAGAGAAAATTGAACAGCTTTAATAATCTAAAAGAACAATGTTGTTCAAGTTCAATATGGGTCTCTGAGTACTTCTGGAAATGACATCCTTCCTGGTCAAATAAAGGGCATTTGAAGAAGAAAAAATGGAGTGTGGGGGATTAGGGCTGAAGCTTTCATGTTCACAAACAATATTTTTTGAACTGACACAACTGCATGCTTGAATTAAAATTAATAAAATCTTCACTTCAAACTGAAAACTTAAAAGTAAGCCTCTGAAAAGAAGGTTGTTTTGAATGCCAATTGTGTGAAGGGACATTTCTATTTTTAATAGTGTTTTATAATTGTGATATAGCTACTCTCTAAAAATCTTTTTTATTATAAAATTAATATAGACTCAAAGGAGTTGAAAAAATTAGTAAAGTCCTATGTACCCTTCACTCACCTTGCTTCAGTGGTGACATCTTATGTAGCTGTAGTACAATGTCAAATGAGGAAACTGACACTAGCACATTGCTGTTAGCTGGTCCATAGACCTTATTCAGTTGTCATGGTTTTCAAATCTACATCCATTCATTTGTGTGTGTGTGTGTGTGTGTGTGTGCAGAGTTCTATGCAATTTTATCCCATGTATAGATTAACCACCACCACAAGCAACATATAGAACTGTTCTATAGTCAGAAAATAACTCCCTTGTGCTACTTCCATCCCTTCCCCCATCCTGTCACTTGGCAATCACTAAGTTATTTTCTATCTCAATAATTTTGTCATTTCAGGAATGGTGTGTGGGTGGAATCATACAGTATGCAACCTTTTGAGTGTGACTTTTTTAAAGATGAGTATAATGACCTTAAGGTCCATCCAAGTTATCATATGTCTTGATACAGTAAAGAGCTGCATAACAATGTTTTGGTCAATGACAAAACATGCATTAGTGGACCCATAAGATTATAGTGAAGTTGAAAAATTCCTATTGCCTAATTATGTAACTGTTGTAACATCATAGCACAATTACTTTTTCAAAATAAATTTATTGTACCCTAAGTGTACAGTGTTCTGCAGAAGTGTACAGTAATGATGTAGGCTTTCACATTCACTGACCACTCACTCACTGACTCACCCAGAGCAACTTCCAGTCCTGCAAGCTCCATTCATGGTCAGTGCCCTACACAGGTGTACCATTTTTAAAATTTTTTATACTGTATTTTTACTGTACCCTTTCTATGTTTAGATATGTTTAGATACACAAATACCATTGTGTTAAAATTACCTACATTATTCTACACAGGTTGGACAGGTGTGTAGCCTAGGAGCCATGGTCTATACCATACAGTCAAGGAGTGTTGTAGGCTGTACTATCTAGGTTTGTGTAAGTTCACTCTGTGATATTTTCACAATGATGAAATTGCCTAATGACACATTTCTCAGAGCACATCCCCTTTGTTGAGCAGTGTGTGACTGTAGTTTGCTCCTTTTTACTGCTCAATAGTATTCCATTGTTTGGATGTACCAGAAGCTGTTCAACTATTTGCCCACTGAAGGGTAAATGAGATGTT